GGGTGAATAAAGGCCTTCTGTAGTGAATCCATGCATTTTTGTAAGAAAAATATCCATATTTCAAATGTAATAAACACTTTTCTTTCACTTCCGCTGACTCATTCACTGAAGCCGTTCCGGCGGATGACGCAGCACGTCGGTGTTACGTGATTAGTGACGAATGCGGAGAAACAAAACAAAACGCCAGTCATGAATTAGAAGTACAAACCGAGGATTTGCAAAGAAAAATGTCGGAGGATTTCGATATAAACCAAGAAGAGACTGGTTTTCCTTCGCTAAAGTAAGGGAACTTTGCTTCCTTTACTCCTATAAACAAACTCGCGAGACTAGCATACCTCAGAGGCGCAACCTCATACGTGCTTGCGTCATCCGCCGGAACTGCTTCAGTGTATGACAGTCAGCGGAAGTGAGAGAAACGTGTTTATTACATTTGAAATATGGATATTTTCTTTAAAAAAACACATGGATTCGCTACAGGAGGCCTTTATTCATCCCCCGGAGCCGTCTGTGGCACGTTTTATTATGAATGCGCGAGCTTTATTTGACGACTTGTGGACTGTTCAACTGCAACACCCGCTGACTGCAATGATAGAGCTTGGAATAGCCAGGACAATTTTTAATATAACTCCGACTGGATTCGTCTGAAAGAAGAAAGTCATATACACCTAGGATGCTTCGAGGGTAAGTAAAACACAAGCTCATTTTCATTTTTGGGTGAACTAACCCTTTAACTACCAATTTAAATACTGAGTTTCATTAATTCTATGGCATAGTTTTCCTACAATAAAAAGAGCATGGCTGCAGTTAAAGCAATGCACCACGTGATCAGAATGTACGTCTGTTCATCTTCATGCCTCATTCATGACTTTGCAAGCTTTCTTCAACCGTTAGAGTGCCTGCAGACTGCTTTCTAAGATGAGTAATTCCACACAAAGTCAGTTCAGTCGGCTGCCCTTCAGAGGGTGGGGAAGTACTTAACAGAAATCTTTTAAGAACGTGGTTTTACTCCGAGTAGGGAGGGAGAAAAAGAAGAATCACACACACACACACACACACACATACACACACAAGATCAAGGCATGTTCGGCTTGTTTTGGAGAAGTGAGGTCACTCATAAAACTCAGACATCTTCATTCCCATCTGTGACCGGGCTGCACTTGGCAGTGGCCCTGCAAAGGGACTCCCAAGAAAAGCCACTTGAGTTGGGCTCCAAAGAGCAGAGCTTGTAGCCAAACAATAGGTAGCTCGTCCCGAGGCAGGAAACCGAAGATGAGCCGGGGCATAATGCCGTGCGTCATCACGGCTGAAAAGGCCTTTCACTCGCAAACGACGTACAGAATGGCTTCATTTGCTGGGCAAATTAATTTAATTAATTACTCTTAGTAACAGCTGCACAAGTGGACACATCAACACATCCCTGTGTGTTTGATCAAGGTTATAACATCGGATTTTGGCAGCCTATTATTCATTGAACAGATACATTATTGGTGGCTGTTGACTCAGCACTAAGTCTGACGGTGGAGCGCTGCCAGGAACACAACCCCTGCCAACTCCACCTGCCCGGGCCCCACTAACCCCCTCGAAGAGCCAGACACATCACACAAACCTTAAAGGTCAAACTGAATAGCTTTAAGAGCAAATACAATAACACATTTTAGTCATTTATCCATTTAATTTATTACAGTATTAATAATTTCATTTTATTTTTATTTAAATAATAATAATCCCACTAAAGATATGTATTGTGATTTTAAAATAAAAATGCTTATATATACAGTATAATTTAAATAACATTGTGGCATTTATTTTGTGGTTTCAGTATTTTCAATTAATTAATTTTTTTTTTTTAAATTTTACTTCTTTACTTATTTGGGACATGTCCTGTTGACAATATCAATTTCTCATTTTTAATTGATCTTCATTTTGATGAACCAAGTTCTTTTAGTCTGTGTGTGAACAAAACTTTACTAAACATTACTTATAGCATGACTGCCTTCCAATAATCACAATAAGCTTTTATACTTTTGATATGAAACAAAGTCTTAGCTTTCAAATGTTTATAATGAAATTCCAACAGTAAATACAGTTTTGATGCTGTTTAATGCAGCATGACAGATCGATGTATTGCCTCAATTCAAGCGGCAGCGCACGTGATCCGATCATCTCTTCTTCTTTATTTCTAGTTATAGCATAAAATAAATATAAATAAACATCAGAAGGTTTGTGGAAAGAAACAATGTATCAAGTCTCATGTAATCAGTCAATCAATATTTTAACAGTGGAAAGACGCCAACAGCTAGAAAACAATGTCACATTACATTTACCTCAGGAAAGCCATTCAATATCCATAGCTTGTTAATCAACAAGAAAAAACCTCTAGAGATGATAAATGCAAGCACTATATTGCATATTTATTATTTTTTAATTAACCCAGTTAGTGATATCTTAGTTAATGTGTGTTTGCAAAAATCTGTCATGAAAGCATGCTTTGAATATTATAAAAACCATCATTTGGGCATTTTGAATCTACAGAAATCTGCTGAGCTTTCTTTGAGTTGTGCAGGCGCAGCTTTCATGTGGGGCTGCTAATAATATGGGGTGTAAAAAATCAACAGCAGGATCAGTGCATGTTTTTTAATGGGCACATCCCATCATGCATCAGCATACTAAAGAGCAGACCCTCACAGAATTTCACAGAACGATCTGCAGATTTACTCCCATCCCCTTCCTCCCGCCTGTTTTTTTTAATTTTTTTTATTAAACGTTTTGTCTAAATATTTATTCAGTCTAATACTCAGGATCGTTTTACACATTCAAATCGATTCCACAGAAATCTGCAGATTTTCTCCAAAATCAGCACTGGCTAATGAGGAAATGAGGAGACAAACCTCTCGTAGTGTCTTCGTGTGCACGTGGCGGCACTGGTGCTTCCCGGGTTGCCGCCCAGTTCATCATATACATTTTTCCACTGTCGGCGCGCTGTGATCTGAAACGAGAAGCGGGAAGTTTATTATGAGCGACAAGGACGTTCACATATCTGAAAGAAGAAAGTCATATACACCTAGGATGCTTCGAGGGTAAGTAAAACACAAGCTCATTTTCATTTTTGGGTGAACTAACCCTTTAACTACCAATTTAAATACTGAGTTTCATTAATTCTATGGCATAGTTTTCCTACAATAAAAAGAGCATGGCTGCAGTTAAAGCAATGCACCACGTGATCAGAATGTACGTCTGTTCATCTTCATGCCTCATTCATGACTTTGCAAGCTTTCTTCAACCGTTAGAGTGCCTGCAGACTGCTTTCTAAGATGAGTAATTCCACACAAAGTCAGTTCAGTCGGCTGCCCTTCAGAGGGTGGGGAAGTACTTAACAGAAATCTTTTAAGAACGTGGTTTTACTCCGAGTAGGGAGGGAGAAAAAGAAGAATCACACACACACACACACACACACATACACACACAAGATCAAGGCATGTTCGGCTTGTTTTGGAGAAGTGAGGTCACTCATAAAACTCAGACATCTTCATTCCCATCTGTGACCGGGCTGCACTTGGCAGTGGCCCTGCAAAGGGACTCCCAAGAAAAGCCACTTGAGTTGGGCTCCAAAAAGCAGAGCTTGTAGCCAAACAATAGGTAGCTCGTCCCGAGGCAGGAAACCGAAGATGAGCCGGGGCATAATGCCGTGCGTCATCACGGCTGAAAAGGCCTTTCACTCGCAAACGACGTACAGAATGGCTTCATTTGCTGGGCAAATTAATTTAATTAATTACTCTTAGTAACAGCTGCACAAGTGGACACATCAACACATCCCTGTGTGTTTGATCAAGGTTATAACATCGGATTTTGGCAGCCTATTATTCATTGAACAGATACATTATTGGTGGCTGTTGACTCAGCACTAAGTCTGACGGTGGAGCGCTGCCAGGAACACAACCCCTGCCAACTCCACCTGCCCGGGCCCCACTAACCCCCTCGAAGAGCCAGACACATCACACAAACCTTAAAGGTCAAACTGAATAGCTTTAAGAGCAAATACAATAACACATTTTAGTCATTTATCCATTTAATTTATTACAGTATTAATAATTTCATTTTATTTTTATTTAAATAATAATAATCCCACTAAAGATATGTATTGTGATTTTAAAATAAAAATGCTTATATATACAGTATAATTTAAATAACATTGTGGCATTTATTTTGTGGTTTCAGTATTTTCAATTAATTAATTTTTTTTTTTTAAATTTTACTTCTTTACTTATTTGGGACATGTCCTGTTGACAATATCAATTTCTCATTTTTAATTGATCTTCATTTTGATGAACCAAGTTCTTTTAGTCTGTGTGTGAACAAAACTTTACTAAACATTACTTATAGCATGACTGCCTTCCAATAATCACAATAAGCTTTTATACTTTTGATATGAAACAAAGTCTTAGCTTTCAAATGTTTATAATGAAATTCCAACAGTAAATACAGTTTTGATGCTGTTTAATGCAGCATGACAGATCGATGTATTGCCTCAATTCAAGCGGCAGCGCACGTGATCCGATCATCTCTTCTTCTTTATTTCTAGTTATAGCATAAAATAAATATAAATAAACATCAGAAGGTTTGTGGAAAGAAACAATGTATCAAGTCTCATGTAATCAGTCAATCAATATTTTAACAGTGGAAAGACGCCAACAGCTAGAAAACAATGTCACATTACATTTACCTCAGGAAAGCCATTCAATATCCATAGCTTGTTAATCAACAAGAAAAAACCTCTAGAGATGATAAATGCAAGCACTATATTGCATATTTATTATTTTTTAATTAACCCAGTTAGTGATATCTTAGTTAATGTGTGTTTGCAAAAATCTGTCATGAAAGCATGCTTTGAATATTATAAAAACCATCATTTGGGCATTTTGAATCTACAGAAATCTGCTGAGCTTTCTTTGAGTTGTGCAGGCGCAGCTTTCATGTGGGGCTGCTAATAATATGGGGTGTAAAAAATCAACAGCAGGATCAGTGCATGTTTTTTAATGGGCACATCCCATCATGCATCAGCATACTAAAGAGCAGACCCTCACAGAATTTCACAGAATGATCTGCAGATTTACTCCCATCCCCTGCCTCCCGCCTGTTTTTTTTTAAATTTTTTATTAAACGTTTTGTCTAAATATTTATTCAGTCTAATACTCAGGATCGTTTTACACATTCAAATCGATTCCAGAGAAATCTGCAGATTTTCTCCAAAATCAGCACTGGCTAATGAGGAAATGAGGAGACAAACCTCTCGTAGTGTCTTCGTGTGCACGTGGCGGCACTGGTGCTTCCCGGGTTGCCGCCCAGTTCATCATATACATTTTTCCACTGTCGGCGCGCTGTGATCTGAAACGAGAAGCGGGAAGTTTATTATGAGCGACAAGGACGTTCACATAATGGATGTGTGCATGAAGCAGAAATGAAATGAACACAGATATTAGCATTCCACTATTCATGCATTCAACATTCATGTTGGGCTTTCTTTATTGTCGAATGATGAAAATAAGAGGGTCACTCGATGCATATTAAACAGATCCCGTAAGCTTTCTACTTATTAAATGACACCGAGCGCATGATGTCCCACGCAAGGTCATAAGATTGAGTTTCTGAAATGAAATTGATGTATCGGACTCTTAACTGAATAGGAAAAAAGAAAACACATACTCGATTAACATAATTCGCATACACAGCGATTAATATTCATGAGAGACTTTTAGTGCATTCAGCGTACAAGGGTTAAAAGATTTTTAATGGCCGATTCCGCAGCTAATGGCTGCCTCTCTCAATAAAATGCATTTTGTGGAAAACCGCATGCATCAAGTGCTGGGAAATTAATGCATGTGTGATTTAGTCACCCAGGCCAATGTGTTCACCACAGACTAGTTACATATATTCTCACAGTGCTCCGGAATACAGTATGTACCCGACGTCCACGGAGACCTAATCACTGCAATCTCTTTGATTGTAGAAACACTTCAATTGTGCTCTACTTTCCTTCGGTAACTTGACTCATTGAGTAGGGCATCTGATGTCTCCTACGGCATTTAATGAAGCGTTTGCATTTGCTCTAAACTCCCTCAGTCATAATAGCCCTTGACTGCTGTTTGCTTTAACATCGCCATTGTGTATGAGGCAGGTTTTCGGGGTCTGGAGTACAGTTGCGGTATTAAAACACAGTCAAGTACAGTTCAACCTCAGGCGAGGAGTTTAATCCGATCTTCTTGCGCACTGTAAATGTTTCCAATGACATCATGGCTCCTCCTGCATGATGATTTTCATTACAGATGTCAGCTGCATTTAAAGCCAAGCTTTCTGTGGCAAAGACAACTTTGGGGAGCCAGGGGACATAAAAAATGACTGAGAAAGGCAGGCAACGGTATCAATACGCCAGATGAGAAGAGCAAAAAAGTGGCTTCCTGTTTGCTCTTAATCTAAACAGCTTCAGATGAATGAATACCCAAAATATCGAATAGCTTGTCGCATAGAAGGGGCTTTAATGTTTTCACCATACTTTCGCAGAGCAGATGTCAGATAAGCTGCCAAGTGAATTCCCTTTATTGCGCAGCTCACTTGTTGCACAATAATGGTCCCTTAAGAGCCTCAACATGGGTAGTGAACAGGCCTCGACCAATTTCCTCCACCGCAAAAGGGTTACACGTGTTTTCCACTTGTACATTTTATAACAACTGCGAGCGCTCTGGCCAAATTTGGATTTGAGAGAGTTCCGCATCCAGGCCAGAGTCTAGTAAACACACATTACAAAGCAGGCGAAAAAAAAAAACAAAAAAAAAAGAAACTCTTGTTTTTCAGGAATCTTTCCGAGCCAAAGGAAAAAGCGTGCTGCCAACGGCACTGGATTTCAAACAAATCGTGTAAACACTCACCACCTCGTATCCTCCCAGTTTCTGAGCCGCTTGAAACATAGTCCAAAGGTTTACTGTAAGAAGGATAACAAGGATGACGATTAGTTCCACAGGAGAGCAGTGGGAAACATTCACATGTTCGGGATAGCATACTACTATAAGTATTCATGAGTAGTGTACACTACGCATGTTATGAGAATTTTCCTGGGCATGAAACCACCCCGATGACCTGCTATATGCAAAAATGAGCAGTATGCACTACTGTATCCCACAATGCAATGTACTCAACTTTCAACTTGACCTTTCATTTTAAGTGTGGTCATACGACTGGAAGTAATTACAGCTATGTTTTAACATCCCATTTCACTCATTATTTGATCCAACTGCTAGAAGGTAAGACAATTTTACACTAAATCAAATTAAAAAAGGGCAAAATACAGTTTAATTTTGGAGATGATACTTGGGGCAAAAATAATGAGGTCACAAAGTAACAAATTTCTGTTTAAAATAGTCAATTCAAGTCAGTTTTATTTGTATAGCATTTTTCACAATATACATACACTCAAAGCAGCTTTACAGAAAATTATGATGCTTATAATGCTTATAATACCTTAATCTTCATCTTAATCTTAATCTTATCTTCATGCCTTAAAGTCACATTTTATCAGATTAGAGCTGGGTGATAATATCTTACATCATGAGATGATATAAACAATCAAGCAGTTGAGATTTGCAACAGTATACAGAATTTATAGTAATGCCTATTGCCTAGTTTTCACTACCTACTTTTTAAATACACTCTTACAGAAAAAAGGTTCTTTGTTTGAATCTTTGGTTCCATGAAGAAACTTTAGCATCCATGGAACCTTTGCATTGCAGAAAGGGTTCTTTATAGTGGAAAAAAAGGTTCTTTAGATTATTTAAATGTTCTTCACACTAAAAATGGTTTAATGGTTTATGACATAGAAGAACCATTTTGGGTTCCCCAAAGAACCTTTTTTTTAAAAGAACCATTATTTTCTTACAGTGAAGTGGATTTTAATAATATAATCAATCTTTTCCCACTGTGAAGAACCTTTTGTGCAATAAAAAGGTTCCATGGATTTTAAAAGTTCTTCATGGAACCATCAAGTTCCAGAGTGTTCTCTTAAGTACTGTTTACTGAAAGGTTCTTTGGGAAACCCAAAATGATTATTCCATGACATCACTGTGAAAACCTCCTTTTGGAACCTTCATTTTTAAGTGTATAGTAGTGTATACTGTGCAGCATATAGTACGCTAGTATTCTATTCCGAACACAGCCATACTAACACATTCTTCCAATCAATTGAACATCAAATTAAAACATGACTTGAAACGCTTGTCAACAATCCATTCCCCACCATTTAATTTTCACCATATGAATGCTAATACTAAGCAGGGGCCTCTTAGAAAGTGAGCGAGAACAGGAAAAAAAAGATGAAACTAAATAAATTTGTGTCAGTTTAATGAAGCAGAGCTGTGCCACATTTATGAATAAGGTACAGCAGAAATTAATGAGGGACTTTGCTGCTGGGGGACTAATCAATCAAGATTCAATCGCCACACACACAAAACCACTGCATTTGTCAGAGCGGTGTTTGTCTGGCCTCATATCTTGCCATATTGATTTTTGCTTCCTCCCAATAGCTACTTCTGATTGACTGTCGGGTTACAGGGCGAGCAGTTTTTAAGTCGGCTGAATGACATTAAACTTACAGCCGAGAGCTTCTCTCTCTCTCTCTGACACTTTGATACATCAGTAAAGCACAAATACTAGTGATAAAGTGTGCAAAAATGGTACCTTTAGGGGTACAACAGCTTGTCACTGGGGCAGTACCCTTAAAGGGACAACTTTGTAACTTATCTACCTCAAAAAGGTGCCTAGAAGTACTGTGGAGGCTTTTTATTTTACATTCTTGGATATTTTTTTTGGTCTGTTCCCACTGGTGTTTCCTTTCTTCATGCATTTTTTGTCTTCAATATGTCTCTACATATTTGTAGATTTTAGTTGACATAATATTAAAACACTGGTCCCCATGTTCAACCCTGTTACCATATATATATATATATATATTTTTTTAAATCATTTTACATACATATTATATATAATTTAAATAATTATATTTCTTTTTTCAAGAAAAAGTTCTCCTGTTTTTCATTTTATCTTATGTCTTGTTTTGTTCGTCTGTAGGGGACAATGTTAAAATATCAACCCTGTTTCTGTGCTTTTGTATGGTAAACAATTAAAAACTGAAAAGTAAATATTTATAGAAATATCAGTTTTTGCTGCAGCACCTTGTAATTCATCTGTAAAACGGTCAACCCAGTTAATGTCAACTCTGTTACATTTCTGAAGGCATAATTATCTTTTAAACATCTATTAAAATCCACTAAAGGATTAGTTCACCCAAAAAATAAAATTCTGTCATCTGTACCATTTGTCATCTGTAATTTCAAACCCATAGGATTTTATTCATCTTTGTATCACAAATGAAGATATTTTTAATGGAATCTGGGAGATTTCGGCTACTAATTTAAAAGGAAGCTTCAAAAACTAAAGAGATCATAAAAGAAATGCATATGAATCGAGTGGTTTAATAAAGTCTTATAAAGTGATTGTGTCTCTTCAGATGATGAACAGTTTTAATTTAGCCTTTTATTCACCTAAAAACACTGATCAACATAATTTTCATTTTTGAGTGAACTATCCCTTTAATTTAGCTTGGGCTGGCACAGTGCAATTTATGAACACTTCATCAAACATCACTTGTTAGATAGAGAAGTTTAAAATGTAATTTTGTTGCATAACAATTTTAAACCAGAAGATTGATGCCTGATTCACTTCCTTACTGCTTTCACAGAAGTATGAATCATCTTCTGCAAGAACTGTGTGTCACACTATACAAGGATAAAAAAAGGTTTATAGTGACGAGCGTCTCTAGTGTGAATAAGAACATGGCAGAGTACATCTCATCTGCTCTCTGTGCTCACGCAGAGACTCCTACACTCATGTGTGCATCTTGACGTAGGTCAAATATGTTTCTATTTGATCACGATAACCGTACATGATCCTTCTATATAAAACGCAAATAATAGGCTTCACAGTCAGTAAACAGATCTATTCCATAACTTAATGAGGCACTTTCCTGGCTACATATACAGCTGCTGAGGTATTTTAGAAACCAGCATAATTTTGCAGCCTAGTTAGGTTTTGAAACACCGCTTTTATTTAGCAATGTGCAAAATCATTGAATATATAGACAATGAGATGGCTGATTCAAGCTGGATGTGGCTTATACATATTTCTATGCAGCAATTCAATGTTTTTCCACTGACAACAGTGTTGAAAATCAATGGGAAATATTATGAATAATAAAATATCTGCTTCCTGCATTTAGATAGCAATAGATTGCTTGTATACTTTGTTTATGAGTTGAGCATTAAGCTACTTGTTTATTCACACCGAGCTGGATGTGTTACATTAAAGGGACCTGGAGAGCTGCCTGGAAATAATTGTATTTGAACTTTCTTTAAATTATGTTGACCTGCTTTGCAACTTTGAAATATAAATTACAATTTTTTTTGCTGTTTTGGGTAACTGTGAACGCTGCAGAATGTTTAGTGCCAACTAGATGGACACATAATGTCAAAACTGAAAAATTGCTCATGTCAGATATTCAAATAGTTGTATCTCGACCAAATATTGTCCTATCCTAACAAACCATACATCAATGGAAAGCTTATTTATTCAGCTTTCAGATGACGTATAAATCTCAATTTTGAGAAATTGACACTTAAGACTGGTTTTGTGGTCCAGGGTCACATATTGTTTTCTTTCTTCTATGGCACGCAGATTTTGATGTTAGCATCATTAACGGCAAAGGCCATTGGTTCTCGCAATGTCATGTGACCGCAAATGTGATCTGAGATCTTCAATATACAGCTTGTCTTGTATGGAAAACAGCATTTCCGACATTCTGCATAAGATATACTTTTGTGTTTCACAGATGATCCGGTTTGGAATGACATGAGGGTGAGTAATTTGCATTTTTGGGAAGCAGATACTTCCATCATGCTTGACTTTTCAAATGCCATCAATTTCGTGGAAGTGTCACACACATATTTTTTCAGGTTGTTGACTAAAGTAGCGCTGGAGATCTTCAGAGCTCTGTTATGGAGGAGGAGGTGAAGAAGCTGTACTTACTCTGTTTGAAGCCCAAGTACGGTATCCTCTCAATGGGAGTTTTCCTCTCTTTCATGTACTTATACAGCGACACCAGGAAGGCCTGCTCATCTGTGCGGCACTCCTCACCCATCTCCACCTTCAAGTTATCCTCAGGCGTCACTTTTTTACAATTGCTTCCACTACTGTTGTTCCTGGGTTTGGACACTCCTGATTTTGAGTCCCCCTTCATCTAAACACCACACAGCAAAAAGACATATTTAAGAATGTTGAAAAGCACGCTTGGTCTGTCATATAACATCACAAACTACTTAAAAAAAAATAA